AAAAAAACATTAACAACCAAAAACCAATAAAATGTTCGACTGGAGGTTATACGTTCTTGGACGAACTTATATGGGCATCGAAAATAAAAATATAAGGAATGTTGATCATTGTTAGGGTCAAATCTCACCCCAATTGAAATCATCAAAAAAATGGCCGAAACAACTTGGGCTGAGTTCGCTATGTAGATCTTGGCAGCTCACCGTAAAAGCTTAGCCCGCCGACCTCACCGACCTCGCCATCACGTCATCCTCACCGACCTCGTCAATTTGCCGAGATGGCAACTCGCCGACCTCGCCATCTCACCGTTTTTGCCGACCTTGCCATCTCACCGACCTCTTCAACTCGCCGACATGTATCGCGTTGCGACCTCGTCAACTCACCGAGATGGCAACTCGCCATCTTGCCGTTCTTGCCGACATGTATCACGTTGCGACCTCGTCAACTCGCCGAGATGGCAATTCGCTGTCCTCGCCGACCTTGTCAACTTGCCAAAATGGCAACCCAGCGACTTTGCCATCTCGCCGACCTCGTCAACTCGCAATCTTCACCGACCTCGTTGACTCGCCAACCTTGCCATCTCGCCGAACTCGTCATCATGCCGGCTACTAGTTCATCATGCCGACTACGAGTTTAGCCTCCCGACGTCGTCATCTCGTTGAGGACTCCAAGAACCGTCAAAGTGAAGATTACCGACGTTGGTTTGTTGGATTAAGCTAGCCTATTCGGTTTACCACAATGATTTGGACCGAGTTCCATGAGTTTAAGACGGCGAGGTGACGAGATGAAAGCCCAACAACGACAAGATGACTAGTCGAAGATCTACGCGGCAAGATATCGAGTTGGGCCTAGGGGATGAGGTCAAGCTCATTGATGTGTTGTCGAGTTTTACCTCTCAACTAACTACCTGCAAGTGCACAGCAATCACAATTAGTATAGCTAAGGGATCGTATCCACAAGGACTTCTTAACCACACTTCAAATTGTAATGAATAAAACTAAGTTAGAACAAGATATTTTTGTCGTTTTTGTGATTGAGAATAAAGTAAACAACGAATGTAAATTGTAATGAAAATCAATAGAAGAAAAGCGCTAGGACATAGGTATTTCGCAGAGAATCATGCAACAATAAAGATTGATTGATTTTAGGGATTTGGGAATTATGAATCGTCTAGAACACAAAGCACTGATTTAAGGTCATCCCACTTTCGTGACGTAACTAACCATCTACGTTTTAGCACCCTAATARACTCAACTGTCGCAGATTATTACAAGGTGAAAACATGCATTAAACTTCAAGTTCGATAAAGTTCATCGAACTTCTTAACTAATCTTTCGAATTGTTAAGACGTTT